CCTGTTTCCATATGCATTTTTATTATGATTAGCTATATTTATTGAATATGTCTTAAACTTGGGTGTTCTGCTTTCATGCATGTGGCCGAAGTCACATTTTTGTGAAACAATTTGGAGACCTAAACTCTATATTGGCATGATACAATTCTTTTGTTTATAAAGTAGTATGTATATTACGGGTGAAATTGTGTATACATGCTGGAGTTGACAGAGTTGTTGAAATACTGTGGCCATTAGCAAATTGGCAGTAGTGATGGATATATGGTCTTACATTGCATTTAATACATAGAGAAAATTGACATACATTAGTGTAGGAACCCTACATGGTGTGCTCATTTTTAAAACACAAGCAACACCCATGAGATTACAACTAGAGTATACAATAATGTTATCCTTCGTCTTGAGTTGTGCATCGTCTTTTTCTAGATTCTTCATGTTATTTAAGTTTCTTGCTATTACTTGAAGAGCAGTTGCACTTTTCAATATGTAATCGGGTTGTTTCATTTGCTAAGAAATTTATATTACATAATTAACGAGTTAAAAATTCGTTTGATCTTGAACACATTGGAGGTTCAAACCAATTCCAAAAACCGCAACCATTATGCCCGTTGTCCAATTACCTCCTACTGGGTTGGATGGCGTCCATGATGTTTTTATTTGAGAAAAAATAAGTAAATAAAAATAAAAATTGGCTTCTGTTCTCAGTAAAATAAATTTATTTTATTATTACTATTATTTTATTATTATTATTTTTATTTTAAATTTTTTTGGAATATGGCTTGTTTGAAAAATCTATGGCCAAAATATTAGGTTAGTAAATTCTTTGTAGCATGTTCAATGATCGGTCTCAAGTTTTTTCCCACCATTTTAGAGAAAGAAACGAATTCTCCCTCCATTTATATGTGTAGACGTTGACTTGACGGTCAAAGTGATTGATGGGACCAAATCCGCAACAAAAAAATAGTAAAGGAATGAAATTGCAACTTTCTTTAAAAAGTAATCTCGATCCTACATGTCGGCTTTTTGCGCTCCATAACCCTGTGTGTAAAAATTTGATACTTCGTAATCATGTGCCAATGTATAGTACTCTAAAGTAGTTATTGTAAATTTACATTCTATATTTTTAAAATTATAAAACACTTGACTAACTTAAGTTGTAAATATATTTAAAGTTAATTTGTTATCTGTTTTTTAAATGTGATATATACATTAATATTTTTTTAGCAAGCTTCGAACTGATATTCTAATTGCATAAATAAAACAAACATATATGTATATATATATATATATATATTAACACTAATTAAAATTCATCCTGTATGGAGCCATGAGTGCGTCGCAGACCCTTTTATCGTCTTAACAGGTCAAAAGCGCGATATCAGACTTCTCGAAGTGGCACTCCCATCACAGAGGCGATCATATTTGCGATCGTCCTGGAGTGTGGGTCCGGCAATCCGGTATACACAGTTTCGAGTGATAGTATCCATCCTTTTAGCGCTTTGGTGTCCGCCTTCTTGTAGCCCTAATACACACACATATATATGTGTGTGTATATATATATATATTCTTTTTTCTTTGGTATAAAATTAAATCATATTAACACTAATTAAAAATTAATAAATTATATATCAACTAAAAAACACTATGTATAAATTTATTGCATATGAATTAAAAAATCATTATAAATTAGGACAATCAAATTGTACAAGTTAAAAGTCTCATTTTAAATATATAATAATTTATTTTAAAAAAAATATTTAAATTTTAAATAAAAAATAAAGACATTCATTAAAACTTTCTAACAATCACTTAAGAAGTTTAATTTCAAAACAAATTTTGTAACTAGCAATCATGCAATCAACTAAGAATTTCATAATAAAATTTTTAACTAGCGCCGATCACATGTTAGTTACTAGGGAACATTAGGGCATCCACATCCGTTAATTTTTTTCCCATTCATTCAATTAAAAAGTTATACTCTCTCTCATCCACATCATCTCCACATCGTCTTTTCACTAATTCTCTCTTCATTTAAATACACACTCACATTCTTATCAATACATTTATATTAAAGATGGTGGGGCAACATAAATAATATATAATTACATGAGTCCCACCAATTTCTGTGTTACTGAATGCTTGTAGGGGAATTTTTGATTTTTTATGCTCCACATTGCCGTTAACAGGATTGAACGAAATTAGTGGGCCCTACAGATTTTGTCTATTAAATGAACCTTCACATTGGTTTAAATGATGAAAAGGCTCGTTTAAACGGTACGTTAACGCATCAATGTAGATGCTCTTATAATAGAGTAGGGAACATTATAATAGAGAACGTAATTTGCCATGCATATATTGTGCTTAGAATTTCTCATTAGGCCACATAATTTAAGTAGGCCTAGTTTGTGCCAAACCCAGTCGTCAGGACGGCCAGGCCAGGCCATGAACCGATCACCAAACAGTCAAAGACGGTATAAAAATCAATCAAATCCATGGAAGTATCCAATTAGACAATCAGAATCAATCAAATCCATGGAAGTATCCAACTAAACCATCATAAAACAAAGCATTAACTGATTTCAAATTCGGAAGAGAACAAAATTGGTCACTAGCGATGTCTTTATTCTAACCTTAATTCGAAAAGAAGGTACCAAAATCAAGGAACCATAGTTAAAGGAAAACAAAAAAAAAAAAATGAAAACCAAATTCTGATGCGCTACTGATGGTACAACCTTACAAAAAAAAACCCGGATTCTGGTTGTCAAAACAGGCGATTGTTAGCAAAGTTAACGTGTGCCAACTGAAACAGTATTATTGCCATCCAGACCTTAATTCGTTTTTGATTTAGATGCCCTCCTTTTTGATGACCTCCTTGGAAGTGAGTTCTTCATTCCAATGAAAAAGAGCAATGCCCCAAGCAGTGCCAAGTTCTACCCGAAAAAAATAAAAAATAAAAAAATAAAAAAAAAAAATAATAATAATAATAATTAAAAACACAAATTGCAAATAATTAATCAAATATTTAAACTTGCTAATGTCATTTTTGTACACACCTGTGTGAATTTGATAAATAGCTGAGCGAATTCTTTCTTGTCAGCATCGTAATTGTAGAAATCGTACAAGATGGGTGCCAAAATTGCTTGATGCAAAAGCTGTATGTACATGAGAGGCTCTTAGTGAAAGTGCTTAGTTAGAATATCAAAATCTATATAAAAGGGGCGTTTTTGCTGAAAATAGAAAAGGCATATATACTGCTACAGTTTTATATGAAGTAGCGAAAATTAAAATTATTTGTTTGGAATTTTATTTATTCTTTTCTTGAATTTCTTTGATTAAGTTTCTTTTGATTTATTTGGTACTCATAAATATGAAATTGATTGATTAAATGTTTGTTAAGTTGAAATCTTGGTTGGATTTCTTTATATTTGTACCATATTATAATGACACAATTATGAAGCACCAGAGAACAACATGTAGAATTACGAAGTACAAGAAATTGATAAATAAGATTACGAACCACCAAAAATCGACGCAGAACTCCGGGTTCATATACATGGAGGATATGTAACTTCATCATTTCCATACACAAATTGCTATTTATTATATCTTTCGTCTTAAATGTCATTTATTTATCTTTTTATTCAAGAATTTTTACTTATATTTGCCATTTTAATTATATGTACAGGTTATAAACATTGTTCCAATAACTTTTGCTTTTATTCCATAAACCATCCAACTCGTGTATTGCATAGGCATGTACGCTAATAAGCAAATAGAAAAACAGGGAATAGTCTCATATGAATACCAGGATTGAAGCTCCAAAAGAGTTATCGAATATGAACAACAGGCTCCCAACTGACTTCATGATGATGGCTCCCAGTATCAAATGTTTCATCTGAAAAACAAATTCAAACACATGTTACATGCATATGAGGTGACACATGCTTTCACCATTTAAAAGGATAAGCAAAAAGAGATGATTAAAAAACTACCCTTGAAATTTACCTAATTCCAAGAATAAAACTTTCTAAAACCCAAGGACTTGTAAGGCACGAACAAATGTCTGCATATTTGATTTTTTACAAAAACTTGGTGATTTTTCTATTCATTTTTTTTTTCGGTAATTAGTCAAAGCACAAGGGTAGTTTTAGTAATTTACTGTGAAAAATATGGCAGGTGATCCTTAGATCCTTACTTCTACATGTGGCAACTGAATTCCAATTTGGGTCTTCACGTGCTTTGAGAAAACATTAAACTTTGGCTTTAAAGCCTTCGCAGCTGGCCCACCATCAACACCGAATTCATTGAACCTAAAATGTTCATAGTTGGAGAGATGAGAAAGATTTCAACTTTCACATGCACATCTAGGGCTAAAAGTACCATATTATCAAACAAACTAAATCCGAAAAGCAGAGAAGAAATCCAAATTAAACAACTACTCATAATGTACAATAAAAAGCCAATTTAACTTCTGTTTGATCAACATACCAGAACTCGGAAGGTAATCAAGGTGATATATCTGTTACATTTAGAATGACTTTAAAAATGCTCTCTCTACATTTTCATGTGTAATGTAATCATTTGTAGTCCCAGAAGTTGCAGTTGATGACAACATAACAGACATTGGAAAGATATCAAGTCTCAGGAACTCAGATAGATATTGCAATAGTCAGTAAAGCTAACACAAGGAAATAAATTAAATTTCCTTATTAACTCAAAAACATACAAATACAGAGATTGCTGACATAGAACCTAAATAAACAAGGACTCATAACGGAGATTTGGCCAGCATTTTTTGCTTCTAGAGGAAGTCATTGATTGCTGAGGAAGGATACAAAGTTGACGGTGTTTCCAAAAGGAATCTAAAAATTTATTACATTAATTATATGAAAAAATTCAACATATTTCAACATACAACGACCAGCAGAATCAAAAGTCTAAAATATACCTTCTCCTGCTTTAGATTATGATCAGATTATGACAAATGTTGGGGAAATCAGAAGCAGAAATTGGATTCTCAAACACCAAGAAAGTATTTTTGAATCACAGCCAAAGCGAAGGTTAGACTTACATCTTTTAAATGGATGGACACATACTCCCTTAGAAAATTTCAGTTTGCAATATAAAATAAATTATGAAATAGAAATTAGATGTATTGGACGAAACTTTCAGCTTTTTAACAAAGGTATAGTACACAGCTCCTCAGGTAATAAAGTTTGAATAAAGCACCTCTGCTTCACAACAGGTCCCTGATTGCTTTATTCCCATCAGTCATAATAAACTAAACTCAAATTATCCTGGAAAGGATGCTTAGCTCTAATTGAATGACATACAGTGGCCCAGATGAAAACCATTGCAACTGCACCATTAATATAAGTAATACTTAACCGAGTCATCGCACTTTTCATCATAGAGCCAAATTTACAAATGAGAAGAAAAGGAAAATAAGATCTCGATGCAGGATGGAAGCAGAAAAGCAGCCGCTAATCTCGGAATTGAAGGCCAGCTCTAGTAAATTTGTAAACTAGGTAAAAAATATCCATAATCAGAATACAGTGAATACAAAAATACAGAGCCTTTCAACACAAATTTCATAGGCAGATCATCAGATCCAATTGAATGGCAAAAATCACAAACTAGTTAAAAAAATCCATAACCAAAATACACAAATCCAGAGCCTTTTAACTCAAAAGTCATTGACAGGTCCATCAGATCCAATTAAATAGCTACAATCACAGGCAATCGACTAAACGAATCGACTAAACAAGCTAAAGCCAGCTCTACTTTCTCTGCAGGTTTCACAAAATCCCAACATGAAACAACGAAAACAATAAAAACAGAAAAGTGAAATCAAGTACACGCAATTTGAAATTTAAAACAGCTTCACATATTAAAAGTGATAGGAACCGTAGATCCTATGACAGATGAGTCTTACTCTTGGTAAGCGGAGAGAACGAAGATTGAGACGAATAGCAGCCTACCAAGGAAGGAAATAAACGCCATTGACTCTCCTCTCTCTCTCTCTCTCTCTCTCTCTCTCTCTCTCTCTCTCTCTCTCTCTCTCTCTCTCTCTCCAGTAGAGTTGAGTATGTTCCTGCTGGATTTGGGGTATATAAAAGGCCCAGGGGAGAGAGATTCTTGGGGCCTGCACTTGCTCCTGTTTTCTTCATTTGAAAGCGTTTAGTTTATTGACCAAGATTATTAGGGCTTTGGAAAAATCTTCATCCATAATCAAACTTCACATAATAATTTTAAATACATATTTTTATATACTAAAATATTAATTAAATTATATGAAATAATGATGTAAGAACTTTATTATATATGCAAATATGTGATAAATGCAAAATACATAATATAATTTTCAATAAAATGTCTTTACAAGTAAAAAAAGATTCAATCAGATTGGAATGTTGGGTATTATAATCTAACATTTCTTCTTTATACAGGACGAACATCTTTACCATCTCTGGTATTTATATTTTTCTCGTAGCTTTATCAGATCGCTATCCCACAGAGCGTTTGCGAGCTTATAGATTTTCATATCCCCCCACTCTGTAGGCTCCTGCATCGGCGGACGGTGCGGACTAGTCTTCAACATCGGAATTTGACTTTCGCGATTTCCCTCATTGGTCGCCTCCATCTCATGGTCGCTCATGTCCGACATATTCAGTTTGGAGATAGAAGAAAAGTAGAAAAGATAAAAAAGAGAGATCAATATTCTTCAAACGTTCCAAAAGCGTAAATACGAACAACTGAGGGGAAGCCCCCTATTTATTACAAACATTCCCAATTCTTCAATCATCGCGCCCCATAACATTCAAGGCACGAAGTTCAAGGGACACATTCGAAAATACATGCCTTAAAATCTGACAAGTTGTGTTCCCTCATCTAATATTTCAACTGAAGAGACGTCTTATCAAAATAACCGTGACCTGATCGGCAATATTACGGGTTCAATGCTCCCCAAGCGCCTCAGCTATCCCTCCACTCATTAGAACCTGGAGGCCTCTATGTTGTACCTAGAAAATATCTGAACACAATGCTTCCTAAAATGTGTAGCCCAAATACGGAGTCAAGCCCACACCAAAGCGGGCGGCCCATGAGACGTGCGGACCATCCTGCAGCGACCCAAAATCTTAAGTTTAGGTTGGCTGATCCGTCGATCGACAAAGACCTGGTCCTACCGATCACTCTTTGAGTCTTCTCAAAGAATATCGACAATCTCTCCTTATCTGGGCGCCAACTGATAAAGCTGATGACATTGCCGAAGTCGTCTCATCCTAAAAAAAAAAAAAAAACTAAAAAAAAAAAAAAACTTGCATGGATACACACGGTGCCACCCTACGCCCCTAGCTGGAATCAACCATTTAATTCTTCTTTTGCGCTTTTTGTGTATGAATACCGATCCCTCTGGGTCCTAAAATATAGTCGAACACACCATTACGATCACAAAGTTCCTTTCTCATATGGCTGTAATGCTCCTCTATACAGTTTCACAATAAAAATACTGGAGAACCATTCTCATTATCGATCGCCATAGCCGATCGACAATATCAGTGTCTTGTTGTTTTTTTTAGCATATTTATTTTCTTAAATCGGTTCATAACTTTTCTAGATTCATTATAATTAATTGCTCAAATAAGCATACTATAATTCTCGATTAAACCACCTAATTTAGATCTACAATAACAGTTGGAGGTCGATTGTCAAGAATATTCATTATTTCATGAAATTAAAAAACGAAAGAGAAAAATTAGTATTTTTAAACTCATTTTGACCATTTATAAGATTATTTTTAATATTTTACAATTAAAAAACTAAATAAGTAAAAAAAAAAAATCAAATTCATTTTACAAATTTAAAGATTTGAATAGCAAAAAAATAAAATTGGAAGCGTCCAGACGTAAATTTGCTTCCAAGGAAGAAGAGAGAAGTGGCAAAATCGATTTCGCAATCGGATTTACAGACCGATTGGAGGCACCTGTATTGCAACTTTTACGATGCGTATAGGAGGAGATGGTGTTAGGCTAATTAATATTCACTGGAATGGTGCAACATGAGAAACTCCAACTCTATCTCCAAATCCGCTCTCTTCTTCCTTTCAACATGCAAATCCATCTTCAACTTTTCGACCGTCTGCGCCATCTGATCCTCCATGCTCGTCTCGCCATTCTCTTCCCCACTTACCAACGCAATCATCTTCTCCACCTGCTGCCTCTGCAAATCCAAACTCCTCCTCAGGAAAAGTAAACCCTCCAACACCACCCCCGCAACACCGCCACCCCAATCCGCAACCGAACAGGCCGAAATTGACCCCTCGGAGCCTTCCTTTTCTTGAATCACACCCTCGTCTTCAGGACTCACTTGCTTTTCAACATTTTCTTTGTCGTGATCGGGTGGGAAAACGGGCTCCATCTTAAATCCCTCATCGTTAAAATTCCACCCGTTAATCCTCCTCTTTCTCGTTATTATCTCATCGCCATCCTCGTCATCACACTCTATTTTCTCGAGCGACCTGAGCCGCCGATCATCGATCTTCGCACCCTTAAACCTCCGCTCAACGGGCGGCAGTCCCTGCAGAACATTCCTAACCAAATAATTGGGACCCTTGACGTTTCCCTTGAAAAACTGGTGCCGGAGCAGCTTATCGGCCGACGGCCTCCTCGAAGGTTTTCGCTCGAGGCACAACCCTACCATATCCTTGAAACTCCTCGGGAACCTATTGCCACCACTTCCATCAGCCTTGTTGCTGCTATTACGATTGTAATGGTCTGAGAAACAGAAGCGCTTGGTGATTTTTGGAGGTCGATGGCCAGGGACGGAT